AAAAAAAAAAAAAAAAAAAAAAAACAGTAAAGGAAGAGAAAAGAAACGTAACTAGGGACCGAAGGCGCGTGTACGATTAGAAAACAGGTCTTAAGAATCGTATTTTTGCATAAGACTCGAAGACATAAAAGGGAAGAACAGTACGTGTGCGCTAGGGACGAGTGAATGCGTGATGCGTGTGTGTATGGCATAAGAGTGGTTGTGATCGAGAGAAACGGGGGGAGGGTGAACCGTAAGAATAAGAAGTGTATTAGAAAACGAGAGATTTATAAATGGAGAAATTGTATTTGGCTATTTGTATACTGTGATCTCCGTGAAGTTTTTACTATAACACATGCGGATACATAGGAAAAACTTTTGTTTCGTGTATATAATTTTCATGAGAGAACGATTTATATTAATTATAAATATATTAAAACACACAAACACAGATTGTGTTCTTAAAAGGAACAGCCCAAATTCAGATCATAACAAAGATCATATGTCAAAGGCGAGCAAAGTGATTAAGACATTTTGGAATTGCTTATGGATCTGTATAGTAAGGTCCAAAGGTTTCTAGCCTAATTTTCTGGAAGAGAATGAAAAAATACTTGTTTATTTCATAATGTGATTTTAACATACGCTACCACTCATAAGTATATCCCCCGATTGAACAAAAGGTTTACTCATTTTCATCTTACATTTCACTTTGGAATATTTCAATAGATGATCATGGGATTTTGTTCGCTTTCTATAGTCGTTATTGTGAAGAACGCTTGTTTGAAAAAATTGCTGCATTTTTCAGTAAAATGAATCTGATATGGATGTGCAAATACTTATGAGTGGTAGCGTATTTACATACGTGAGTAATGAATAATAATATTACATAAATGATGGTAAAGAACAATATTTGTTTTAATTTTCTCTGGTAAGTTAGGCGTAAGCAGGAAATCGTTAGACCTAACTGTGTATAACTAGCTTCTGGCATCAGTCATCAGAGGGACAATAGTACGTGTTAACGTAGACAATACTCTTAATTGTAAGCGGTTTATTGGATGTTACGGTTTCGGTATTATATCTTGCATAATACCGAATACTTGCCAAGAAAATATATCGTTTGAAAGGAGAGATGAATCGGCATTTTTGATCTCGACTACGATCTTAATTTGGGATGTCGCATATCTTTAGTAATATACCGTATATATGTGTGTACATGACACATATACACTCGCATGTATCGTAGAATTTTAAAGGGACTATCGATATCGTCGAGTACCCTTCTATTTCCCAACACTTACAAATTATCATCCTTTCGATTCCCTGAGAGAGTTTATATGTCGTTTCGTTTTGCAGATCCTGTATAAAATGAAACCTGTACAATTTTAGGCGAATACTGATCGTTTATTGTGTAACTCATTGCAAATGAAAGAGCAACGTGTAAATAGAGATTTATTTACTTATTAAGCAAATCTCGTGGTATCAATTCATTATCCCGCCCCCAAACTAAGTAGAATAGAATTGTGAAATGTTTTGGAACTGCAATAAGCAGTAAAACCACACAAATTATCATAGAATTCAATCCAAAACAAAAAAGAAAACACATTTGTTATTTATAGATGTTTATTCTAAATGTAAATAGATGTTTATTTAAAAAAAGATGATTTATATAAAACTAATAAGAAAGTCATTGATTTTGTTATGCCATTTGGAAAAAGACCACCTCCTCCGCTATCACTGCTGTACTAGCTTTTGTTTGTCCTTCTAAGTCCTTAAATTCACCATAGTTTATCTTTCCAATGACCAGTATTCTTTGACCTCTTTTTAAATAGTTGAGCACAGTTTCACGAAGACTTGGTTTAAAAATGCATATCCTATGCCAGTCCGTTCGTTGCACAAAATCCCCTGAAATTGTTTCAATGTATAAAATTTCACAAAAGTAATAATAAACTTCATAAAATTGAAATAAAATATATAATCTGTTGATTCAGTAAATTATTAATTTCTTGGGTGATATCCAAGGTGGATTCTCACTACTTATTAAAAACTTTAACAGACAGTAGCAAAAAGCTGTGTCAATAGATAGTGTCAGGCCAGTTTTTAAATTGTATATAATATTCATCTGTCTGAAATAACTTAATTGTAATGAACTGTTTAAAAATTTAAGAACTTATAAATAAAATCTTATTTACACAAATATCACCATAAAAATTAAGATACAAACATTTATGTTCTGATTAAATCTCTATATCAAAATCTTGTTTGGTATACTTACCATTACCATATTTATAATTGCTATGCGTTGCTAGAGAAAACATAACAACAGGATGTTCATTATTTCCCTTTTTTTGCGGTTCACTTCCAACTCTTCCTAATAAAGTCACTTGGTTAATTGCTATCGATACAAAAGTGTACAATTATTATTTAATTATATTTACCTATTACAAAGGAATTTTTTATTATTTAAGCTGGTTATGAATTTTATGTTTTTTATTTGGTATGTGTCGAATCTTTTGTATATTAAAATACGAACTCTTTTCAACAGTATTGTGTTATTAATGCTTTTTATTACCAACAATAACTTAAGATATATGAATAAAGTGATTATATTTTCCAAAATCATCAACGAATACTCAATAAACCGATTACTTACTTTTTTCCAATTTAACATCTGAGCACATTCCTCTAATATTAATTCCTGAAATACTTTGCATTGCTCTCGGTATAACCTAGGAATATACAACATTTTCAGGAAAGTACGTAATACGCTTTGATTAATTATAGATTGTACAATGCTCCACATCATTACTTACATTTCGAAACATGTTTGTGTTTATTTACTGACTATAAAACTGATTAACTACAATGTTAACAATGGTATACGCCGTACTAGTCTATACTTATCGATGCTTTTGTAATACTCAATGATAGTACTGATACTTGTTGTCATGTGGTATTTGTGTTTCATACATGTGCACCATGTGCACAGTGATGCACACGACATCTCCAGGGAGAAGCAAGCATTATATATATATTTATCACAGTCGTATGCATACACAGGTCCGAACTCCCACCGTTGGGGGCTCTGTGACCCCACGAACTCACCGCACGGGGTCACTGGCGCCACCGTCGGGGGCTCTCTGACCCCACGTCACAAAGGACGGGGTTTTTGGCGCCACCTTCGGGGGTTCTATGGAACCACGATCACACTACACGGGGGTCTCTGGCGCCACCTTCGGGGCTCTGTAACCCCACGATCTCATCGCACGGAGTCCTTGCTCGTCCTCTGGGGGTTCTATGACCCCACGATCTCACCGCACGGAGTCCTTGGCCCGCCCTCTGGGGGTTCTATGACCCCACGATCTCACCGCACGGAGTTCTTGGCCCGTCCTCTGGGGGTTCTATGACCCCACTTTCTCACACACGGGGTGCCTTATTAATAATGTAAGCAAGATACAAAGTAGAAATAGACGGTACGAAAGAATTGCAAGTTACAGGGGAGGGAATTATTTGCGGCATATAAGTTACAATATTTTAGGGATTAATGAATAAAGCATATGTATGGTTTGACTGTTTTTTATTGAAAAAATCGCACGAAAATATACAATTTACAATAGTATTTCTATAAATTTAACAACAATTGCTTTAAATATACAATTGTATATGCACATAATTTTTCCTGTTGTATATTATAGCCAACATTATTATGCCTTTATCCATATATAATAGTATGACCTTAAAATGACCTTGAACTTTAAACATTTTAAATTCGCTTATATAATTTTTTCCATCATCTGATTCGTCTCTTGAAACCATTTATATTACCCAAAAAATATTTCTCGTATGATCACAGATAGAAAAGATAGTTAGGTGGTCTATTTCAAGCAGAACACCCTGTATACTATATGTAGTTATAACGCACTTGGGGATTCTGTGATAGTTATAACGAATTGGGATGTCTTTCGAGGATGCAGAGTCCGGGATCGAAACGTGAAACAATTTTTATGTAAGTTTCCGTTAGAACTATACACTTTATTGTTTTATTTTTACATATGAGCATAAATCGTATGTCAGTTAATTATTGTGAAATCGAGCCGATCGGTGGATCCTGCCACTTGAATTCTTCTTGATACGAGACATAAATCACCCAATAACAAACATTCAGCAGTCCGAAAGACGCTGGAAATACTATCCTCGCTACTTTGTCGATTTGGGAGACACTATTTATATGCCTGGCAATTTTTTCACCCCGTTTTTTGCAATTTCCAGCAGCTTCCCTCTGTCTACGTCTCCTGTATACAGAAAAATACGAGTATAGAAAACAGAATGTGTATCGAAGCAAGTTTTGGTCAAACATGGTATTGACACTGAGTTATTTTTTGTTAAAGAGAAAAGTTAAGTATAAAATAAAATATTTCATTTGAACTTATAACCTGAATGCCTCGTCGCCAGCGAGACAATAAAGAAACTGCCGCCATTTTGGTATCCACACTTCCGTCTGTGTCTGTCTTTCCATTGTGGACGGTTTTGACGTAACGGAAACTGACATTGATCCTCTTCCATATGCGACTGATTCCTAGATGAAAATGAACCATAATTCAAGTATCTTGTAACCTCCTTCTTGTTAAATTCATTGAAAAATTAATATTAATTGAAAAATAATAATGAAGATGAACTGAGTGGACGAACAGGAGACATAAATGAACTTTAATGTTTAACACGATTGATTTTATTGTTATGTTAGATAGTACTTTGAAAAGAGTAGAGTACATTGTGTAATTTTGGAATAAATAAAGGACATATGCTAATAATTTTCATTGATAATAGTAATATGAGATATATCTGTCAGTAAAATGGCACACTTCGTGTGCAACGACCTAATAATACAACATAGAAAAGATATGATAAAATAATCGTAAGGTGCTTACGTTCACGTCGTAAACATCGCATAATAAAGAGCTCCTTCTTCGAGGAACATCGATTATAGTCTCTGGATGGACAGTTTGCGGGCTACAGGACACAATATTGCAGAATGCGTCTTGATAATTGGCTTCGCTTTGGTCCTCCCATTCGTCTTCATCCAAAGGAATTTCTCCGCTACCGACCTACATTTAGTCAATCATTAGAATTTATACAATTGCAATTATTATTCAAGCTTACACATTTGTAATGGTAATTTATGAGATGACAGTTTTGTTAAAAATAGAATTAGATGTTTACAATTATGCAAACTTATAAATTAGATCACTCAATTAGTGCTCTAGCATTGTAGGCATAGTTAGTTACAATTACAATTAATAAACAAAAATTTATTAAATTAACAGAAAAATAAAGTTTTACTGATCATTATAGTGTAATTACAATTAAGAAGTAACCACAGTCACAATAGCTGTAATTATTATTATAAAAATACAGTAATTTAATTCCAGTAAGTTTTAAAAATAATATAAAAATACAATGAAAAATTTTAGGAAGAACTTAGTAAAATACGAATAATGTTATTTTAAATTTATTTTACCTTTGTAAAGTAATGGACACCAGCAAACTCTAAGAGGGTAGCGATGCAGTATCCAAAACTCATTAACAAAAACCAATCAAGGGCTGTGGCGTACCTGACTTTCGGTAAATCGGTTCTCGAATCAAGGCTAATAGTTGACAGTGTCAAAACTGTAGTGATACCTAGAAAATCAATTTACATTTAATGTAATAATTGTTATCGAATTCAGAAACATTATCGAATTAAAAGGGACGTTGTCCGAAAACAATCTCGTACAATTAAACAACAAATTCGATATGTTTTATAAGACCACAGATATGTTTTATAATTATTTTAGTATAATGTCGACTTGGTTTGTCATGTGATCAAATTTGCATTAGTCCATTTATTCACTGTAATTGAATAGTGATGCGATGCTTTTTCCTACAATCTGATGGTTCAATTTTTAAAAGTCAATTTTTAAAAACTACAAATTTTCAATGTAAAATCATTTTTCAGTGTTATAGTGCAATATTGAAATGAAAATCTTGCGTAGCAACTTCTTCCATATCTTATTCTTATAGTAGATTCTCTTCGGTTGGTCACGTATCTCGGATTATGACAGTATATGTCTTAATTAAATCATTAATACATTAAAATAAATTCTACGATTTACCTAAACCGACTCGATCGCTGGTAGCCTCGCGATGAATCCAAAAAGACACCCAACTGAGCACCACTATTAAGACACAGGGCACGTAAACCTAGTGGTAGATTTATATAAATGTATAAATGGTAACATTTTTAATAACAGATCATAGACATAAATAATTTCTGTACACATTTAAACTATATATATTTTCATACACATTTCAAGTATTTATTAGGTCATCCCATAAGTACCGCAGTTTTTTCTAAACACCGTAGTATAAATATTTTCAAGTTTTTCAACAATTCTTCAATAGTCAATTCAAAATTAGAATTATAATGTATTTTTTTTAAACAATGTGTTAAAGTTAGCTGTCAGAATATACAACAGGGTGCCATGTAACTGGATAGACGATAATTCTACGTGAAAAAATATGTCGAAAATATAGAATAAAATTTTTTCATTTGAGACTTCGTTTTCGAGAAAATCGACTTTGATAATTATCCTGAAGCAATGAATAGACGCGCTAACCAAGTCCTATTCAATTAACACGCGTATCCAGCAGATTTTTGAAGTCGATTTTCTCGAAAACGAGAATTCAAATGAAAAAATTTTGTTCTTTATTGTTGACTTATTTTTTCACGATGAATGTATAATAAAATATATGACACCCCGTATACAATATATTTTATTAATTAGGAGTAGTTCTTTTTATAGAAATAAAAAGAACGCCCACAGTATAAATTCGACATTACATTTTAGCCAACCCAATGAGATAGGAAACGATTCGTTGAGTGACTTACTTGGATAAGGAAGTAACCAGTGTTCCGTTGTAAGTTGAAGGAAACTTGGAGAACCGAGAATTCACCCTCTCGACGAAAATAAGTTAAATTCCGATACGGTGAACCCATTAGATCGAATTGCGAGAGGGCCATTCCAGGGACGAAATTCACGGAGGACCCTTCCTGCCACTCGTAGACTAGTTGACCAGAAGTGTATGCATCTAAAAATGACAATTTTTGTAATGAATTGCCAGAATTCGTGGTACAAATGAAATAAGGAAGATAGTACGGCTCAAAATAAGACGAAAATCAAGAATAACGAAATTGCGTTTGAAGTTTCGTTTTCGAGATATAAATTTGATCATTATATAAATTAATTATTCACAAAACACGATCTAATATACAATATATGTATAATAAACATTGTACTTAATTTATTCTAGTTCGACATAAAACTTATTTTCAACTGATTTCATGAAATTATTTATTTTAATCGTATCTATGGCGAATTAAATATTTTTCTTCTTTCTTAATGAATCAAAAAAGGGGGAAATAAATATTCCTTATTTCCATTATGATGTGGAACTTTTAAATTACAGATAGGTACTTACAACTTCCAAGAATAAGTGGACAAGACTGTCGGTCCATAGGAAAATTCCTTAACTCCATTGGACACTTTGCTTTTATAGTGAGCCTGTTTAGAAATTTAAAGATTTAATCACTATAAATAATTACTATTAATTCAATAATATTCACTTCGACCACACGAAATAAATGGAACCCTTGACGTATTTTACATACACGTGAATGTTTAATGAATTTTAGTTAATATCATAGGAAGATAACCCTAACTCTATTTTTTGCATAAATGGTGTATATCTAGTTTTAGTAATAATTCAACAGGAGATGCTGAGTGTATCGCCCCAATCTAAGTTAATATACAAGATTGTTCCTAAACCTCAAAATATCTCAAAAGCATATAAAATTGAATTATACCACTAATAATTTCAAGAGAAGTTCACTTTTTAGTATGGTTTTAGAGTAATTTTAAAAAAACAGTAAAGAAATTTCTGTTTAATTCCAATTTTCGGAAATAAATTTGAAAAGATCCGTAGTCATCAATAATGACAATACCTCATGGAATAAAGGATATCTCCGTCCTGCGAAATTCTCAACAATTTGTTGGGCACAGTGATGGTATGCACGTAACTGTGTTTTCCATTATAAATATATGTATCAGGTCTCCATATTCTTTCCAGCATCTTGATGCTCAAACTGAGCGATTTTATTGGTCCCAGGAAGCTCAAACGAGAATCCCTCCACGACTGCCGGAAGTAACAGTCCATTGAATAATCCTTAGAAAACGACAATTATAAAGATTGAGTTATTTGAAATGAATTAATTCTTTTGAATTAAATTTGAGTCATTTATTTAGTAAATAAGTTTCAAATGCAAAAACTGATGAATCAAATTTTCCATGAAAAACTAGATCTCGAAATGATAAATTATTATTACATTTTTAGAATTACCATATCGAGTTCGGACACAGGACCCATGCTTCTTATTAAGATGTTCGTTTTCACCACTGTCGGTGCCCCTGAGAACCGAAAATTTATAATTGAATTTTCATTAATTTTTCAAAATTGTTGAACACATGTTGACTGTATATTTAATGTTTCTGACATTGTTGATGACGTGAGATATACAGGGTGTCATGCAACTGGTGAAACAACAGGGTAGGGGTTGATTCTACATGAAAAAATAAGTCTAAAGTATAGAATAACGTTTTTTCATTTTCAAAGTCAACTTTCTCGAAAGCAAAATCCTAAATAAAAAAATTTTATTTTATATTTTCGACTTACTTTTTCACGAAGAATCACCCTTTACATGGTTGTACCACCAGTTACATGACACCCTATATATTCCATAACTTTTTATCCTAAACGGACATTAATATATATACAGACTGTTGAAGAAAACGGATCATTGTATTAATAGGTTTGATTATTCTCAAACGATATGAAAATATGATAGCATATTAAATATGTTAATATTTGTACAAGTCCGTCCATGTCCTCTGTCTAAGTACAGTATGTATATGTATAATATTAAAAGTCACGCGATCAAAAATCATTTTATTGTAGAAATATACTCATAGATTAAAATTGCTCGACAGCTGTGAATCTCGTATGATTGTGAGCGAACATTGGTCATTTGTTCATTTGAATAATTGCATGTCACCGGCTGGTAATACTGCTTTATCGAATTACCTCTAATTACGACGCAAATTTATATATTATATTTGATATATATTATTTATAGATAAATAGTTACAGATATTTAATATTAATATAATATTGGTAATAATATTATTAATATTGTATATTAATTGATATTAAATATTATTAATTATTAAAATATAATATTGTTAATAACAAATATATATTTAAATATATATAAACATATATTTGTACGTGTATGTCAAAATATATCTACTGATAGACTGCAATGATTAATTACATCTCGTTAATGCGTAGGGTTTTACGGACTTGCTTAAAGTATTAAAAGTATTTAAAACTTATGCGAATTTCGAAATTCAATTGACATTCATTTCTTCAATTATAGATTTTGGGGAAGAAAATGTTCAGGTCACAAAATTGTCGTGCTGGTCACTGGTAACCGGTGCAATTAAAGTAGACAAGTCAACAAAAATTGGAGCACATGTATTCTATCACGATATTATATCCCTGCAGTAAAATTTTGGGCAATCAACAAGTTAATCTTATATTATTGTACCTTGCATAATCACATATTTGAAAAAATGCTACAATTCGCCACAGTTCTTTTAATATTTAACATTCTGTTAAATTTTTCATAATACTGTGAATTGTAATTAAATCCAATAAATAAATCCCAATAGTCCATAAGTAACAGCAAATATCATGTTTATAACAAAAATCTTGTTACTTTAATAAAAATTAAATTAATTTCTATTTGTTCAGAAGATCGACATCTCGATTTTCTTCGGGCAGATTAAGAAAATTGGCTACTATACTACAGCTTACCACGGATTGAGGACAAAAAGGGAAATTATAGAAAATTGAAACCGCACGCTAGAAATAAAGGCGATTTCGGAAGGATACTTTTTTTCGGCTGGCTGCCGTCCAACTTTTCCCGTGTTTTATTCGCATCGGCTAGCTTCCTATTTTCTCTTTTTCGCTCGATCACTTGTCAAAGGTTGTTACAACGCTCCTTTTTTTCGTTACAATCATTTTAAAATCGACATTCTAGCGGAATAACTTTATTCGCTTCTTTTGATTCTTTCACAATAGAATAAAGGATCACGGGGCTGAACACATTGTTGTAGCTCTCCGTGCACTAAATTAATAAAACAGTAAACATCCTTTGGAATGTTTAAAAAATATAGCTTTAATTAAAAATAACCTTTAAATACCTTTAATAACCTTAAATACTAAAAAAATACCTTTACCTAAAAATAACCTGTAGTTGTGCGTACAAAAGGTTCGCTAACAAAGTGTAAAATTGAATTTCTTTTGTTGAAAACTGGTAAAGTTGATGGGAAATTTGAATTTAAGAGGGTACACCATTTTGCACGCATACAAAAAATAGGTTAATTACAGATTTTCTCCTCAGGAAATTATTGAGTAAAATATTGAGTAATATTGATATGATTCTAAAAGTTATATTAAAATTTATTTATTTAAAAATTATTCATTTGTTTTTAATTTTTTTCTACCCACGTGTCTTTGTTCATATAATTTCAATTTTGTACCAAAGAATTCTTCCGTTCGTAACAAACATTTACATTTACAATAAATCCCCTAGCTCCTAAGCCAAATTTTCTTTCGAATCTAATTAATGCAGAGTTGCCTAAACAGCCACAATTTACCGAACAAACGAGCATAATAAATAAACAAATTAAACAATTTCATAACCTTTGAAATTTCCACTCGTATTCGATGAACGTTCGAAATCGATTGTCTCAAAGATGAAGCTTACAGTGAAAAAATTTCATTCCACAGTTTCAGTTTATTTTCGCATCCAGTAATCGCTTCTTTGTCACTTGCACCGTGATTTCAGATTCTGTGTTTCGCCTTTAGTTTTGCGGTGACGTAGATACACACGGAGAAAAATCGGGAGAAACGTGTTCGGGGTGGGATCAAACATCAAGTCGCAGGAAATTTCCAACCCTTGTCCAGATCGGACAAAACTCTCAGAATGGACAGTTTGTTCCGGTAACAGAGATCAGAACCAACAGAATATGGTGGACGTCACACTCGTCTCTGTCGAAAAAGAAACTCCGAAGGCTTTATCACGTGCACGCCTGGAAGATCGAGGGGAAAAATCGTGGAAATTGAAACATGATACATACACTAGAGACCCGATTCTTTTTTTTTTTTTGGACGGACCGCAAGTAAAACCGCTCTCGATCCCTTCATCGTCGAGATTAAGTTGATCCAATTAGGCGGTCGAGTGTGAACGAAAAATCGCTTGATGAACGGGGATTACTTAAAACGAGTAGGTAAATTACTGTATTAAATATTAGGATTATATATCGCTAGCAAATAAACGAGGAAAAGTAATATTTAGACGTGAATATTTCGGAAATAACACTAAAGTAAAACGTCCATTATAAAATATTGGTCAAATCATTTACAGTATTCGCGATTTTTGAAAAAAACAAAAGTGTAATGTAAACTATCGTGTCGTCTTTTTGAAGGATAGAATTTAGTTCACTGTTAATGTTGTACTTCACAGAAGTGTACAAATTTATCTACTGTAGTGGACGAAAAAGTTACCACTTCTCTTATTACTTTTTAGCATTAATTTAAAACCTTAATATACTGGGTTTTATATAGAATTTAATTCTCTATCAGAATATATTTTAAATACATACTAAAGTTTTAGTGTATCTCAGAAACTGAATGTATGATTTATTTCTGTTTTACCCTTTCCATGGGTGGGCAGCTGGTTGTTTTCGTAATTCATCAGGAGATTCTCGAGGACCATAGTGATGTTTTTCGAGACGATATCGTTCATGGTTCCTCTGTTCACCGCTGACTTCGATGAGGCCTTCGGAGATGGCAAGGAAAGATCGAGAGCGTAATTTCGATCCTTACGCGTCGCTAACAGCACGAAAAATACGAGTCTGTGAAAAAAAAAAAAATATCCATTTTCTAGTGTTAAATTTTCTTTGTCATAAATTTCGTTTTGTAATATTTTTGCTATACAATGATTATGTGACAAATGGAAACACTGATATTAGTATTTAAAAAACAGATGTCTCCTTTAAATATTGCAAATTTTATGCATTTATAACATTTCTCACTATGCATATAATTATATTTTCATTTACAATATAGGTAGTATAATGATAATATTACTGGAAACAATTAATTTCTGTGCAATTATTGTATTATTAAATTGTTTTACAGAAGTCTTATCTCAAAAGTAAATAATAGGTGTTAAAAAATCTTGTAAAAGTATATAAAACGTGTTAAAAAACCGTGTAAAAGTAAATAAAATGTGTTAAAACGAAAATAGAAAAGACTAAATACTGGTGAATAATTGCAGAGCGATCGGTTGAAAACTAGAAACTGACGACAGGCGAAGCAGGGTCAAATGTGGGCGGCCGTCGAAAAGAGGGGAGACGTGGAGGGAAGATAGGAGTACAAGAGAGCTCTCCTTAGCCGCGGATTCAGCAACTTCCGACAAGGGTACCCCTCGATCTTTCGAGTGAATGTTCTCCCTCGTTACGTCAGAATCGCCCTTTAAGCCCTTCCGGTGCCCCCCTCGCAGAGGGACCATGAAAAACATGGCTTTTTTTTCGAAATTCTTCGTAGCAGACACTTGCGACACTGTTCAACCAACTTCCGTGACTGTAGTAAGATTGAACAATCTTATTTTCTTCAACATATTATTATTATTGAACGTTACATATTTATTATTATTTATTATTATAAATATGTAACCATCAAGTTGTACAAATGTAACAACATTAATTTAACACGAACTAATGAAAATATGGACGTTGGTAATTGAATTATAGCAGTTAATTAAAAGATCATTCTTAAAATTTCAAGTGTCAATGTTGAAGAATGATATTCTCCTTTACCATTAAAAATATTATTTTATAAATTACAATGAAACAAATAAAGGAAGGTTACAGTCAGAACATCTAGAACAAAACCGCCATTATAAACAATCATGACAGAATTTACAAATATTTGCGATATTCACAAATTGACTGTGAATTTTATGCATTTATCGTATATACTGACAAATAACAAATTACCATTATTTTATCGCTGTATTACGAATAAAAGAACAGAAACATGACAATATAAAGGGAAGAATTTTATACGTCAATGGTACCATCATACCACAAGCTCTTCTCCGTTTGAAAAAAAGGACGATGATCAAGGAAAAGGAACGGTCCGACGTAAAAAAGAAAAACAAAAAAAAGCCGATGATTATTTTTTTTCTCGGCTATTGCAGGCACACGTTTACTGGGGAACTCGTACCACTTTAATTTCAGCTTTTCATTAACGGACTCTGCCAATAGTGGGCATATTTGTGGGGCTGGCTAAACAACCCGAGCTGTGAGTGGTCGATCCCGTGACAGAGCTTTCATTACCATAATATATTTCTTCGATCCAATTCGACGTTTAATACAGTCTGTTTCGATTGTGCTCGCGAAAAATCCCCGTTGTTTCGTGTACAGAGAGAGGGACAAAGGTGTTCTTATAGACATAACGTGGAAATAAAAGGCACTGTATTCCTGGTGTGTCCACTACCAGCACAGTTGCTGTGTTATGTACACACAAGTTTGTCTATAACGTAGTCCTTTTTACTGTTATATTCTTATTACACGAATTTTTGTGTTTTTTAAGGGAGACATTTTATGTACTCAAGGAGGAGAATTTCTGGTTGTAATGAAATGTGATTTACGTATCACTAGAAATAACAGATCTACGATAAACTATTATAGTATAGTAATATATTGTAATATAGAATAATATATAATAATTAATAAATATTGTATAATAGAATACAGTTTAACTTAATATAATATGATATAGAATGTATAATGAATTTTGAATCATTAAGTGAGACTATTTTAGTATACTATGAAAAGCAATTAATGGAAAAGTAGATTAAGAGCTTCGATGCTATTGTATATTATTCGGGTTAAAATTTGCATAAATTCTAAATCTCACAGGCTTTTAAGCTATTTTTATTATAAATTCTTTTTATTTATTGAATTTGTGGAGTATGTATTTATGTTATAAATTAATTTTGTTAAAAGCTACATGATTGACTTATCAAAATTGGAGTTGAAACTAGTTTTTCTTGCAGGTGGTCAACATAACAATTGAATGTTAATAAATATTATTATTTTATACACATAGTAACCTTGAAAAGTTTCTAATCTAATTTGTATTTATTGAAAAAGGATTTTAAAAAATGTCTTTGTTTCGCAAAACTAATTTCCATGAATATTAACATAATTAAATAAATAATAAATAAAGGCTCTTTTAATTGTTCTGTACTAAATCAGGGTTCAATCGAAACTGTTAGACCGCATTACGTATTATATAATTATAGACATTAATACAAATACGATCGAAAAAATATATTAAAATCACAATAATAATTATCAATTTAATTAACATAGAAAATGTACAATAAACTAACACTAATAATAAATGGAAAAATGTCTCAGACCAAAATTACCGTACTAAATTCTTTATGAAACGATCCTATTTTAATAATGTGCATGTAAACAAATGCTATTATTGCAAACATTCAAAAGTAGACACTACGTGTGTGTCTGTAGTCAAACGAAAAGTTTACTTACGTGAACATTTCAGTGAGCTTCTCAGAAGGATGTTTGTTAGTGCAACACCAAAAATTATTACCGAAAAAATATTGAACAAGCTCGAACCGAATACCGGCACTTGCGAGCGAGATCTACATGCGATTCTTGTGACAGATCCTCGTGGATCTCCCACCTGGGTGGCGAGGCTCGCTGCCGCGCAAACTCCAATAATCCTACATTCTGCAACGTTCAACGAACTTTCTTAATCGTTCAATTATATTTTCAATGATTTCTAATATATATTTGCTGGATAATAATGTTAACCATTATAATAGTGACAAGATCGTACAAAAAAAACGTCTCAAATGTATCAGAATAATCTATTTCTTACCTGTATTTCGTAAAATAGTAGGTAACTTCAATGTGAAAATATTATTGTCACGTTTTAAATAATACGAATGTTCCTTGAAGTTTTATAAGTATAATGTTTAGTCAGCAGTATCTGTTTTCAGTAAGTATTTGACTAATAATATGTATTATAGTACATAGTGTACTTGTCATAAATATACCTACCATTTAAATTTTATCAAGATCCAATATTTAATCAAGAAATTGAATACATTCCACCGAATAAAACGATGGAAACCTAACGTGATCTCCAACGAACACTTTAACAAACAATATAGTGACAGCGAACGCGTTGACTGTTTAAAAGAAAAACGGTAAGCCTAAGAAAACACGATCTAAGTGCGTATTTCAATTTCGACCTTCTTTTCGTCGATGTTTCCAGTGATGTCATCGGTCGAACAAAAAATACTGACAGAACGTTTCCCTGTAAAACGTGTGCTTCAGAAATGTAGGACGACATCGGGAGTATTGTGAAGAAAAAAAAAAAAAGGAAATCTGCAGGCCTTACGGAATAGGAACCTGACGTCGCGGTAATTGAACTTTGACGCTCGTTTAAACACCGTTACCGATCCCTGTTCTATTTAACCAGCCGCAAGTACTTGTTCCTTGAATCTTTCTAAAAGGAAATACGAACCTCCCGAAAAGTGGATCACTTCTCTCGAATCGTATACGTATATCGTGCACTGCGGTATACCCGAATGATTCTACGAGGAAATTCCGATGTCGGTATTAACGAGAAAATTGCGGATTTTATTCACTCGTGAAATGTAAAATCGTAGAAAATATAACGATAGAAGTGCTTCGATAAAAAATTACAGAAGATGTAGGAATTCGTCTGTTACGGCTTCACAGTCCTTAAAATCCTCACAAATAACTTGTCAATACACTCTTACAACGACGATTAAAATGTTATGGCAATACATTTTCTCAGATCTTCTGCACCTTTTATTACGATATGAAAGTGAAGAAATTAGTTAATTTCTAAATTTCTAAATTTTCAAAAGTTTTTCACGTTTATCCACCGATTGAGGCAAATATGCGTTTATCGACTTCTTGTCAGTACCGAGGAGCCTTCGAACACTCATCGAGTATTTACTGTACCTATATCGAAAAGAAGAGAAAAAAAAAAAAAAAAAATGAGACAGCAATCGGATAGGGTTAACGACTTTCGCCGTGCCGGGTGTGCGTTTCACACAGAGGCACATCATCCCAAATGAGGTAGCTACTTATGCGTTTCGATCTCCGTCAGCATCGTGATCCAGAGAGACGGCGTAGCCGGCTTGGTGGTCTCTCTGTGTGTCAGTAGGTCGCCCGCGGGAACGGGGCTGCACATGCGTGGTTCCAGTTTTCCGTGAACCTCCAGATCGCCTCGGGAGCGACCGAGGAATGGCGAGCACAGAGAGATATACAGGCTGACGTTATCGGTGACCAAACAGAAGCGAAAGATAAATAGGTGAGAGGCCCCGAATAGTCGAGGGTTGACAGGAGGGGTGGGGGGGGGATGCAGATGTGAAGGAGTGAAATGAAAGAGTCGAATGGACCAAGGGTAGAAAGTGTTAAATAACGGAGGTGAAAGGGAGAGTCGAAGGAAGAGAATTTATAAAGTGACAGATAATACGAAGACCCCTGGGTAAGATGGTGCCTTCTTTCAATGACCAGGAAAAAATTGTTTCGCGAGTGATACAGGTGAGAGGGACTGAATCAGTTTGGGTATTAAACGAGAAAACGTTAGAGTTGTAAAGAGGGTAAAAGAATGGTGATTGGATGTGGTGATTAGGAGGAAGAAGGGGATGCAAGAATACATTTGGTGGAATAGTGATGGTTGAAAGAAGAGGATAGGTAGTAGCCCCAATAAGGATAAAATGTAACCTAAGAGAGATGGCGAAAGGAGGTTAGTAGAGAGAGTGATGGCCAGAGAGGGGGTAGAGAGAGATAGGGAGGAATAGGGGCGAGTGGAGAGGGTGCAGCGTCGCGCAGCATCCGAAGTGTCAGAAAATATCCTCGACAACCACGTCGACGTCGGATAGTGCTCGTGATAGAACCTGTCTGATCGGTGGTGAAATAGTGTGCCCTTTTAAGGGCATCGAGTGCCAGGAAGGGTGAGAGAGGCGTTTCACTGGTGGTGACGTTATCCGTATCACTAGAACTACCAAAATGACTGGCCCGTGAATACGGTCAGAATGACTTGGTTCGTGAACATCTAAAAAAATGATGAAAAATTGTCAATAACAATGTATCTTTTGAGATACTTCGGGACTTTTATCGTGATATATAAGTGAAGGAGTTCGTTGATTTAGCGATTTGAATATTTTCAAGAAGCTGTCCCTTTTATTAACGTGATTGTAATTGAAAGACTTCGGTGGTTCTAGCGTTAACAATGTCTGTAGACCACGCCGAGGTCACCACAACCGCTGAACCCGTTGAGTACATCCTCCTTTAAAACGGCCCTTCTATCTTTTGGAGAATGGTCTGCAAAGAGGTCTACATATATATTTTACTCTATACATTTCACCCCCTAAATCGATCATCTTTAAGTTATAGGATTGCGGAGATGAACCTTGTTGTCTGGTCTTACTTTTTGGTCGAAAGTCAGTGAGAGAACCGGGTGATAAAGTAGCTTTTTTTTTAGAGAAGTAGACAGTCTACTGTAACTTTAGATTTTGTTCGATTTTTTAAAATTAGGATTAATTCAAATGTGAAGAAAGATCTTATTTGATCATGGCTTTAGGAAGTTTGTATTGTTTTCGTCTAGTGTATTAGCATTTTGTGGTTTCTAAATGAAAAGTGAAGCATTGTAACAAACAAATAAAATAGTTGTTGGAATATATATATATATTTCTTTCTTAAATAATTCTTCATAATTAAAATATATTTCTTTCTGCAAAATCGTAACTTTTTGTATGTTCTTATAAATGCTATGTAAATTTTTTCTTTTCTTATTGTCCATTATTATAATTCTTCATACAGTCACGTAGAATTTTTGTTCAATTTTATTGAACCTTCTGTACAGTTACTATAAATCTTTGTCAACCCTGGTATATCTTTACGCAATGGTTGTACATCGAAACTTTTCGTTTGTCCTCTAGACTTCCATATACTTGTATATTGTACCAAAAGGCTTCATAACCCGTTTATAAATAAATATTATTACTATTATTATTACTATTATTATTATTATAAGAAATATTTTAATATACAAAGTTAACACTTTTCATTTAATTTGCTTTCACTTCACTTTTTATTCTTATTCAAAGCTAAAAATCGAAAAATCGTTTGAAATGAATTGAAAAAATTACATTACGCTTAGAAATCTACATTATGTATACCAACTAAGAAAAATTTGTTTCTCTATGTTGTTTAAAATCAATTTGGTGAAATAAGTTCACTCTATTAACAGTTTAAGCGAACTGAACAGTTCAAACCACTACTTTCACAACTCGTCATTCATTTGTTAAATTGATCATTTAATAAGAAATTGATATCTAATGGAAAATTTGTTAATTCTGTTAGTTTGGGACGAAATGTACAGAGTAATATGAATAAATTTCATTGCATCGAATTGTTGGTAATTAAATAGTGTGCAATAAATTAGTTGACATTCATTGTTTGTTGTTTTTTTTTCCTTTCATTTGTCCCTTCTCTGTAAGTGCTGTAGTAGTAATATCGACGCTTTTCTTCGGAAGCAAATGCTTCTTCTTGCGTGTTTCTCAATATCTATTCCGTTAAAATGAATTATGTAAATATGCAAATTTTATTCGAATTATTCTCTGTTGTCGTAGAAATTGATCACCTCGAAAGACTTTCTCTGAATATTTATTCTATATGTTTATTCAGTAAACCAGAATGTATTCGTCAATTCTTCAATAATATACAGGGTGTCTCAGCTAACTTGATCACCTCGAATAATGAGTTAACGGTACACTTTATGAAAATTTTGAGGCATGGAACTTAAATGACATCAAGCGGCACATCTTATAAGATACGTGCTTTTTTTGTCGGTGGTGGCACTTCAGAGATTTCAAGTACATAATTGTTTGAATTAAAAGTTGTTACTCGAAGGCTTTCATGCCTAGTTAACTAGTCTATTAATTAGAATACAGGCAAAGATGGTGAAACTGTTATTAAAGAAACTTATATTTAATCTAATTTATTCGTGTCCCGAATTAAAGAGTTCAAATCGAAGATGAATAAGTTGAATGATCAATGATATATAATGAAGGTCAAGGACAGAAATCAGGTCGGTTCTGGTTACAGTTTCGGGCGGCTCGATGACGAGGTGCAAGAACCCAACGAGATGACGTCCTCGTTTGTCCGCTGACGTAATTTCGGAGGATGGTTAGCAGGATGAGGCTGCAGCAGATCATCCTACTGCTGCAGACGATCTACCTGGTTACCTGGTAATAATTAATTCAGCACAACGTCTCTGTAGTAAGGCCCCAAAGTTTCCAACTTAACTCAGATTCAATAGAGAAAAATTAAAAGGACTATATTTATTTTTAATTTCTTAAATAATATCGTTGTTTATTATTTACATAAATATAGCGAAATATGTATCCTTTTAATTACTTCCTAAAAAATCATATTTAATCAGGAAAAATTTTATTTTACTGTATGGCATAAATATTGCATTATTTAGGATGATGCTCAACTAAACAGTTTAACTAAGTTTATAAGAGTGTTCTATTAAAAAGGTTCTGAAGAGGCTTCTAAATTCGATTGTTTTTGTTACAGTTAAAATAGGTGAATGGGTGCAGAAATTCTGTCTACTTAATATAATAAAACGTAAAAATTGTTTCGCGTAGTATTATCGTACATACAGATTACTATTGAATAAAAATTTATGCGCTTTTGAACAAAATATTTTTAAAAATGCAGTATAATTAATCACGTTTGTCAAATATTTCAGGGCCAGTTACGAAAACACAGGGGTGGTGTCTGATAGGTTGGAGAATGTAACACAAACTATATCACGAATTCTCGATGGGTATGACATCCGATTGAGACCAAATTTCGGTGGTAAGTAATTGTATTCCTGTCTCAATTCTATTTGTACGTTACGATAAAATTGATTCTATTTTTCTGATAGAGTCATCTAGATCAATTATTAAAGTCTTTTTTATTTTCACGATGAGTAAATCGTTAATCATTTAAAAGTTTAATTTTTATTTAAAGAGAATGTTTCTAGACTTATTTTCGCTTTACTTAAGTCATAATGATTACATTTTAATTTTTTTGAAACAATTTTGAAACAAATTTGAAAAAATAATTGTTTTATAACAACAACGTACTTAAACAAATGAAGTAGTGTTTATTTAAACGAAATTATTATTCCGTTCTTTCAGTTTTTTAAAAGGCCATTCACTTTGTCTATGAACTTAATTTGCGAGCATTGAAACAGAGAAGAAACTGAAAATTGATGTCAAGAAATTTAATCGTGCTACTACGAACTTTTTACAGGCCACTGATCATACTGGAGTTCTGATCCGCTTAACGACTCCATGTAATTTCCTGAATCCCCCGTCCATTTCCCGACTAACAAAAATGATCCCCGTAAATCTGGTCACGTTATTATTTCGAATTTTAGTATACATTTCTAGGATACTTTTTTTTCCAAATACAAAATGGCACACAAAGTGTCGTGTGATTTGAGTATAACATATGTATTCATTATTGTGACAATTGTTGCCGCGTTGTGTTTAGAATAAAAGACGAACATTTTTTAGATATATTAGTAATTATCAATAGAATACGAAAGTTTTTAAAATGTGTTGATAATTATGACTTTCGATTTTTCCAGGGGAACCTTTGTTAGTTGGTATGGATCTTACAATTGCTAGTTTCGACGCCATCTCGGAAGTAAACATGGTGAATATACACATTTATATACATAATATTGTTAATTGCTCAGCGTTTCTCAAATTTCATTTTCAATTGAACGACGTATCAAGAAACCTTTTACTTTTGGAGATCGAACATTTTTTTGAGAATTGTTTCTTAACTTTCAAACAAATCAAGTAGAGGAATGTAGTCAAATCTGAATTACTGTTTTGTTTTTCGAATATCATTTTTATGGGCATTCAGTAATACATTTACACTCAATTTAAGAACAATCTTATATTTGCAATATTATGAACGCATATTGGACTGACATTAAAAAAACATAAATTTTACCTAATATGGAATAGGTACCCAAATATGAAACACTGACATCAGGTACAATATTTTCATAGAACACCAACAAAAAAATAGCTTTATTCTGCTTATTGATTAGTCATTTTAATTATAAAATCACGTTTAAAAAATTAAATAAAAAATAGTTATTTGCAATAATCACGTATCCAGGTGTCAAACTTTGCACCAGCACATTCGACGTATTCCATATTTGGAATTTTACAACGTTGAAAATACTTACGAATATCACAGGCAGATATGTCAACAATAACAAAACAAATAAACATGGTAATATAATAACAAATACGAAAAACACATCAAATTTACGCACTGTCAAAAGTTATCGAACAACAGCAAAACAAAGCGATCTTGTCATATCACTAACCTTCGCTCGACTGCGAGTCACAACACGTGTGCGGTGCCAAAATGAGGGAGTGGGATCAGGACTTCTACCGAAACGTAAAATACCGGTATTATACTGAGTGGGAAGGTACGGAAGGGTCCTCCTCCGATTTTGATGAAACTTCGTATGTCTGTTAAGCAGTCAAAAATAAGGAATACGTATTTTTTTTATCGGCTGAGATGCGACTTTAAGGGATGAAACCACCCCTCGAAGTTTTGACCCGAAAGTACTATCTTGAAAACTAGAGGAGATGCATGAAAACTTCTAATGGATGAGGTTTCCGGTTTTTTATGTAGAATAATATGATGTTAATAAATTGTCCAAAATATAATTTGTTTATAACAAAAAAATTTCGGATCGAAATTTTCGCATCTTAGCCGATAAAAAAAAATACGTATCCCTTATTTTTGACTGCTTAACAGACATACGAAGTTTCATCAAAATCTGAGGGGGACACTTCCGTGCCTTCCCTTGTGAGTGGAATAACCTATAACCTATAGCCGTTTGACCAATATTCATTAGTCAGATTTAAAAAAATGGCATTATTTCATATTAGGTATACTGTTCCATATTTGGTCACATTTTTCACTCACGAATAAAAATTTGTAAAGTACACCACAAAAATGCAGGGTGTCCCACATAACATGAGCACCTTAAGTATCTCACTTGCTTTTGGTTTGCAGAAAATTAATTTTAATAAATGCTCAGTGATGCCCATCAACTTTGATACATTTTTACACAAATCCCTCAACCATAGTTGTTTTATTATTTAAATCAACAGTTTCTTTTTTTCTGTAGGATTACACAATAACCATGTATTTAAATCAGTATTGGAAGGACGAGAGATTAGCGTTTTCCCAGGAAAAGGAGGTCCTTACCCTAAGTGGAGATTTCGCGGAAAAGATTTGGGTTCCGGACACATTTTTCGCCAACGATAAGAACAGGTACGTACGATAATAATTTCTACATATTTGCCCTTTCTTAACACGTTGACCGCCGGGGACTGAAACCATAAAAATTCTTTCGGGATCAGAAATTATTACTTTTTTTAACAGAATACATACTATATGGGCCAAGATTTGTCATGACTAGACTGCAGATGTTTATGCATTTATTGCGTCCCTTGGAAAATGCAATAAAATAAACATTTTCAACTCTAGTACATAATTCACAATTCTGTTCCATTTTAATTTTTAGATAGTAGTATCTCAAATTGTGAATTTGCATAAATTTCGGCAGTCTAGTTATGATTCTTACTTTTGAACTTTATTCATTTTTATAAATTCTAGACGAATTTATTTAATTTTATATTCCCCCCTAAAGATTGATGTTTGAACCATCATATCCAAAGTTGTCACTTATATGCGGCCGACGTGGCAGTCAATGTGTTAAACGCAAGCACAAGAAATGTGGAAAATGAATTACTCGATAGCTGTAAAGAAAAAGTGATTAAGTTAGAGAATTTCCGGAAACTCTAGGAACGTTTAATGGTACTTATTGGAATATTAATAACATCTAATGAATACAATTGAATATATATATTAAAACGATGATATTGGAATATCAAATCTAGAGAGTTCAAAGTTCACTGCATCTATCAGAGGATTTGTACAGTAGACACTCGATTATCTATAATTAATTATGGAAACGTTTTATAATTCTAACTTGACTGTAAATTTTATACATTTATGGCATACACCATTGTCTACAACTCAGTATATTAAAAGATTTAGTACAATTTAATAAAATTGTTATTTTATTTGGAACCTGGTAATCCCTTAATTGTAAAATCTGTATTTGTACAGTAGAAGTAAAGTAATTAATTATTACAACAGTTATTTTCTTTAATATTAGCTATAAATTCTATTTGTACATTAACAACATATGCTCGAATCAATCTCTATTTGTATTAAGTCATTGTAAAAATTCTTAACGCTTTCGTAATAAAATAAAACCTCACTAATAATAGAAGTTATGTAACAAATAAAATAAACCTTCCATACAACAGCACGTTTCCGTTCACTTTTTATATAACCTCGTCGAAAATTTTGTAAGTGTCCCGAGTAAATTAATTTCTCAAAAATAAACCAAAATATTTGAAATCCTCCTATTATTGCAGAAATAATAATTTACTAATAAATCACATAAAATATCGTTTTTCATTATAAACACGACACGTACCAATTTATCACGATAGATAACTATGTCACACGGAAATCACACGGTATGACACTTCGTGCGCCATTTTGTATTTGGGAGAAGCCCAATGAATGCATGTAGACGGTAGGATGAGGTTGAGAAAGAAAATGTTGGTTTTTTTTCGGTCTGTTCGCAGTTTCTTGCACGACGTGACCGAGCGTAATAAACTCGTCCGGTTGTCCGGAGACGGATCTGTCACTTATGGCATGAGATTTACGACGACCCTGGCCTGCATGATGGATCTGCACTACTATCCGCTCGATTCGCAGAACTGCACCGTAGAGATCGAGAGCTGTACGATCGATACTACCTTTCGTAGTTCCTTTTTCATTCTGTCAACCCCTTCCACTCCCATTTCTCCCCTCCACTCCCCGCCCCCACCTCAGAATGTCTTGTCCAAAATATTCAAATGAATAATACACGGATTTCAGGAACTCTTTCGATTTGAATTGTAAAACGAACTCTACAGAGAGTCATCTTTCGTCGAGCTTTCACGTAAACAGTTTGTTATTAAATCCGTTCAAAAGTCTTTGAGATGTAGTTTCTAGAAATTCTCTTCTGTTGTATTGGAATTATTGTGGAAACGAGATGAAATAACAACTCATTAATGAGTCAACAAATTACTCGTTTGAAAATTATTTTAGTACATAATAAGACTATTGAGAATTATAATATAATCATAATAACAACAAATACAATGGTTCCATAGTATGATTAAAAACAAATGACACATCGTCACAGACATCTACGACGAATTATCTCGTCTTACCCAGTTAATAGGTTATTCTTATTTCTCTCTACAAAGCACAAAGCCATACAAGAACACTAATTTTACGGTACTACTACGTTATCAAGACAACATTAATTACTGTCCATTTCTAGACTTGAAAACGATACAATTTAGGAAATGGTAAAACGTTAAGCGCATTTCTCCACTTTTTAAAGTAAATCATATCGATACCGAAATAGAAAAAATCCGCGTGATTTGATGAAAATGAGAAACTTAAGAGAATAATTCCCTCAGACGGATACACGGTGCTGGACGTAGTGATGTATTGGAAAGAAACTCCAGTTCGTGGAGTCGAAGAAGCAGAACTGCCACAATTCACGATAATCGGATACGAAACGAACGATCGTAAAGAGAGGCTGGCCACCGGTATATATCAAAGACTTTCATTGAGCTTCAAGCTTCAGAGGAACATCGGATACTTCGTGTTCCAGACGTATTTGCCCAGCATCTTGATCGTGATGCTGAGTTGGGTCAGTTTCTGGATCAATCACGAAGCGACCAGCGCCAGAGTTGCTCTCGGTAAAGAGTTTTTATATTTTTATTAATGCTTGACTTATGGAACCAATTATAATTCAACCCTCGTGCATACATAATTTAAAAAATTTACAAAATTGCAAAAAGAAGCGCAAATATAATATTAGTTTTTGTTGACAGTACTGTGAACCAAAATGTTTATTTAAACTTAAGTCATGAAACAGTTAAATGTTTAATAAAACATGTCTGTAAAAAAATGGAAAAATTTAAGCATAAGAATACGTTTACCAAGTGGTAGTTAACATCAGCTAAAATAAAATATCAAAGTGTAATCAGTAATGATTATAATGAAATATTATGAATTCATAAAGTTCTTATTTTATGGACTTTTTTCGTTTCGTAGGAATAACGACAGTCCTGACAATGACAACAATTTCGACAGGCGTACGTAGCTCACTGCCACGTATCAGCTACGTGAAGGCTATCGATATTTATTTAGTAATGTGTTTCGTTTTCGTATTCGCGGCTCTGTTGGAGTACGCAGCTGTAAATTACACATATTGGGGTGCCAGAGCCAAGAAAAAGACGAAAAAGAAAGAAACTGACGAGAAGAAAGTCATTACCTCTAAAGCGGGTAAGTTTTCATCGTTTAATTACAAATTATGTAGGTACACTATTCAACAGCCACCTGACTTCTAACATTCAGTAGCCATTTCTTATATATTTAAAAAAAAAAGTGATTTACTACTTTTCTGAAAACTTGCATTTTTTTCAAAATTAAATTTCTCGAAAACTGAGGATGCTGGCGAAAAACTGTTTACCGATTCGTATTCAGGACAGAAAATTCTATAAGGAACGACTATTAAATGTTAGAAGTCAGAAAAAAAGTGAAAATTTGTTGAACGGTATTATGTAAGTCCTTCGTACACCTAATAAGACAGCTTTATTCGTTTAAAAACGGATCTACTCGTGTATACGCGAGAATTTTATATTGAAATTTTATAATGAATAAATGAAAGAATTGGAAAGAAGGAAAAATAATAATTTTACAGGAAGCAAGGCAAATTCTCCATTTCCTGGTTCAACAGAAGCGGATATAATAGAGCTTCAAGACTTACGAATGTCACCTCTGCCAAGTATAAGAAACAGATCTGGCCTAATCAGCGGTGGTTCAACTCCTGGAGCCGGAAGAGAACACGATCCGGTCAAGTTTCCTCCTAGTTTTCGCATTTCGAGAGTCGCGGCCTATAACACACACGGAAGAAACATCGGTCTCAGATACAGAGGACCTAAACAGCATAAACCAAAGGTAAAAATGAGCGAAATTCAGTTATCTTTCGATATATCTGTGATTAATTACTATAAAAAGTACTACAAATTTGCAACTTTTTTGTATAACTAAAAATAAAGCTTAAAGGCGCCTTAAACCTAAAATAGCCGTAAAATGGGCGTCTTCAAGGCGTCATGTGCTGTCTGGAACGAAATAAGGAATGATATTCTTTCAAATAATAAAAGGAATATAGCTTTTTGAATACAACAGGGAACAATGATTGCAGGTTTTACACGCGATACGAAGAGGCGCGTCCGTGTTGCGTGTGTCGATGCCAAAGATCAAAGACGTGAATATAATCGATAAATATTCGAGAATCATATTTCCAGTGAGTTTTATACTATTCAACGCCATCTACTGGGTCTTCTACTTTCTCTGAACGAAGTCATCGGTACCCTCTCTCGCTATCAACCGAGCGACGAAAGATAAAATGGACCAATTGAGAATTTACATGGATATCAATAGAAAATCGATTCGATTCGAGTTTCAGAGGAATTTTGGGATTAAATCCGTGTTAGACACGAAGGCGGACTCGAAGCCAGAGTTAGCAAAATGAATTTAAATCAAAGTGCATACATTCATTCTCGACCGAAGGGAGCAGGTATCGAAAGTACTGAATCGAAAGCTGCCAATATTTATTGACGAGGAGATACATATTTTCAAGGATACATCGATGTAATCCCGTGGGTATAACAATATTTTAGAAGATACGTTCCTATTCGATGGCTCGCCAATTCTGAATAATCATGATTAACCCTACATACGCATTCTCGAGAAATTTTTAAGGCGACGTTCACCCTTGAGAACTGGCAGGAATGTCTGAGCGCTGCCATCTTTGTTTTACCGATCGTTTGAAAGTATTGATTGACTAATGTCTGTAATTTAAACAGAATTCAATTTTCATGCCTGCTGAAATAACACCTTCTGACCCCTCAATGAATAATCTATTACTTTTGATAAAAGTAGTACTTATTTCTAATGAGATCAAAGATCTATATGTACTACTCCATTGAGAGTCATGTCCGTTTTACAATATTGTATGCCATATTGGATTACGAAGAAGCTTGAACATATTATGTACTAAAATGTTACCAATTAATAATCTATTATGTTCGATAAATTCAGTACTCATTTCTAAGAAAATCCAAAATCTATACTACTTTCTTATCACCTCATTAAGGATAAAATTTATAAAACACTTGAAAGACTTTGGTGCAATTTTTTGCCCCTTATTAACTTAATTTACCAATACACCTAAATACAAACCAAAAAAGACTGTATAGTGATTACTTGTATACCTTTTCGTGGATGACCGTTTGAATATTAATAAACGACGCTCAAACATCCACGCGAGTTTTTGAGGGTTGAAGAAAAGGGTCGTTTAACGAAAATGATTATAAAACAACCTCAGCCCTAAATATTCCAGAATGCGTCAACGAAACATCAACGTATAATTAATAAGCCGAAAACAGCGATTTTTCTGAAATTGAATATTATTTTGTTTTCTTTTTTCCAAAAGCACAGATCATCGAAGCCAAATATTGTTGTTGCCAACGTTTTTTCTCGTTTTTAAGTCGACGAAAGCTACTAAAGAAACCGGAAAGTGACACTCGACGATAACATTAAAAAATTCTAGAAACATATTATCACAAGCTAGAGTAGTTTTCGATTATAAATTCTAATTATCATTACCGTAGCTGACGAATACTGTTACTGTTGCATTTCGATGTGGGCTATCCTGCGAACAGTGTCCCGAAATTGTCACTCATTACTGTCTCGAAAAGCTGTGTGTATGTGTGTTTTGTTCGAGAATTTTACTTTCGATACTGCGCGAAGGAACAACTGTAAGAAATAACGAATTGAAATCGTTTTACTTTCACACGCAAGAATTTTATATATTGTCCAGGGTATGGAACGAAAGAACGGAAGAAATTTTGTAATATGTACATACTTATACGATATATCCCCGGATGGTCGTCAATTGTTCCTTGAAAAAGGGTTCGACAGCTTTAGTACGCGAACAAAACTCTGACTTCATTTCTTGATTCTCTGCAAAGGGTTAAAAAATTACGTTTTGTTTATTCGATTAAAAATAAACTGATTCGATAAACTCCATACCACACGCCATGTACTATGCAGTGATATTTTCCAGTGTAAAGCAAGACAAATATCGTAAAGATAAAACGAAAACAAAGGGAAAACAGGTTAAAACAGTATTTTCGGTATCGTTAGACCAAGCTGAAACGCAGACAAGGTATAGATTCAGAACTTTTGAGGATAAAGTCTTAGAATTTCTTAATAGTTCGGTGTATTTTGGTTTTGACTATGAGTAAAAAGAAAAATATCAGACATTTGCTCAGAACCTACAAATACACCGATGCAACAAATCTGTATAATTAATATCCACTTGCCTCAGAAACGAAGTTGAATTTTTCTTTCACTAGCGCAATCTTGCGGAGAATTTTGAAAGCTCTAGCGTTTCAATATCTTCAATTAACTGTAGCACAATAATTCTAAAACGATAACGAACAATAATATTTTTAGTTGGTTATTAAAAGTGTTATAAAATAATCGTTGTCGAATTATTTATCTATGATACGAGCCCTCTGTAGTTAAGGGTTAATGCAAAATGTAATACCACAGCCACGATTGTGATCACCTGTGTTTTACGAGCTTGTTTACAAAATGTTAAACAGATGATCACATAAAGTGACCAAAATACCATAATGAACATAACGAAATTACAGATTTTTGCCAAAATCAGCAAACAACGAAAAATTGTGTCTCTCAAAGTTTCATAAGACAGTAGGGTCTGTCTCATACCTCGTCTAAATTTCAGCAGCTCGTTCGAATATTAGAATTAACAAGGAAGAACGAAACGGAATGGAACGACGAGAGTGCGTGAATGGAAAAGGGTAAAATTGTCTTTTTCTAGGGAATATTTTTCTGAAAGATTCGAATGCGATCCATACGGATCGCGTGTTGTAACGTTAATTATTTTAATATAAATCGTAATTGTAACTTTAAGGGAATTAAATTTAGCGATTTAAACAATTCCCAGTGTTTTTCATTTCCGTTCCAAACACCCACGAGGTTATATGTTCACAAATAGAGCAGGTATTTTTAACGTGCACGCCACGATTTATTTCATTTCTCGGCGCATACATCGCACAGTTATATTACAAAAAAAATGGCAGCTTCTACGATTAAACAAAAAAAATAAATACATCGATCGGCCGAGTCGGTCGTCGCTCGATTTTATGTTCGAGCTCCGGGACTTCGAACAAGGACTTCCGTAGTCTTCCTTATTATTGAATTTACTTAAATAACAAAAAAAAAACTATATAGGGACAAAGCAATTAATCTAGGCATCCAAATATTTCTGTTGTTTTCGAATATATAAAAACGTTAACGAAATTTAGTTGTTCATAATTTCCATTATTTACTCATTTTTCAGGATTGTCAATGTCTTTTAACTGGACTGTACATTCTATCCGCCATATTATTATAGCACATAAAAAGGTAAATTTGAACTGTCTTACAACCTTGAAATACAACACTTGTAATTTAGACGTTCCCATTTAATTGCTTCGGCTCGTATAAGAAGACGTGACAGTTATTAAATTAGTACAAAATAATACAAAATATCGCACTTACGATTATCGATAGTAGTTTTGTACCTTTCGGCGTTTCTTCTCTATCCGCTCACCGAGTTCGATACAAGTGAGGGACAATATTATTCGTACAGTAAGAGTATTGGAAGTAAGAGGCGCAGTATTGTCTGTATCAACAATATTGACAATCGGTATTTAAAGTGAAAACAGCAGTTTCTCGCATTAAATGCAACAATTGATACATCAATTATCATTTCGTGGACCTATGTTTTAGACAAATACCTACTTTCACTCCATTATTAAATAGTTAATTAGTTTCGTGTATTAATATGTCTAATATTATCACAAACTATCGTTGATCTAATGTTTAAGCACAGAGTGTGCTAAACTATCTCTGTGATATATCGTTTTATTCCGTTTTAATAGTGAAAAATGTTCGATTCAAAATTCGTTTCTACACTTTCTTTCGATAGATACACTACATGTTTGAAAAATCTGGTTTAAGTATTAGATACTTTAACCGTTTGAAGCTTACGTTCGATTAAATATTCATATAAAAATAGAGCCCTTTTTATTTTCACGTTCTCACTTCGTGAAAAGTTCTGTGCCTCGCAGTGAATATAAATACGAATATAAATACAAATGGTCGCCGATTGAATTTTTCGTTCGACGTTCTTTTGAAAAGTACAAATGAATTTCAATCGTTTCGCTTTTCATAGGTCAACGGAACATTTATTCTGATTCAGAATCGTTTCGATGTTCCGATGAATTCTAGCGATCTGCGTCTTCTTCCCTTTCGGGGTCTCGCCCTCCTCTATGTAAAAATTCCCGGTGACTTCCGGCCAACTGACCGTCACAGGGGTCTCCCTCTTCCGAATAGTAGATATGTCCTCAAATTCTGTACTTCCAAAAACTGGAAAAAAAAATGGAATTTTTGATTGCTCGAGATAGAAAGATTTTATTCCTTTAAGAATACCATCATACCTAAGAGTTTCTCTAAATATTGACACCTCCTTTCGGGATCAGCCGGGTTCACGGGTGCACCTGCAACCAGTTCGGCTAGTTCCGCTTTCACCATTAGATTCAGTCGAGCCGAGATCTCTTCTAAACCCACTGAAATCATCATGTATTCTCTATTTTAGCCGAGGCAGTATTAGAGGCAGTAGTAAACTTCATAATAGATATCAAGTTATAGCTTAATACTGGAACTTCCAGCGACTGTATACTTAATATAATCTTTGTAATTTAACATATAGTATAATATAAAATCTGAAGCACATTATAGATTAACGTAAGTTCCAACAGAAACACCTCTATGATTTCAATAATTATAAAGCAAGATAAATTATTACATTTATAATTTATAATATTAATTTATTTTATGACTAATTGTTGAAGCAAAGCAAATTATTTCAAACTGATTTGTCATTTAAATTAGCTTATTCAAAATGCCTAAATACTTAATCAATAATTCAAAGCTATTTTAAAAATCGGTAATTAGATATAAATACTTAATAGATAATTACAAATTTTAAATATGCAGTTGAAGTGTATAATCTTAATAAAGCTTGCATATTGGAGATGTTTCTTCTATAGACATACACAATTTACACGTAAGTGTCGAATATTATACGCAAAATTAGTTTGGAACCCAAAAATTATTTCACTGAAGCAATGTAGAAATATATTATCGATTTTAATCATAAAAATAATTGTAATTAGTTAATTTATTATATGGATAATCACTTCAAAATGATCTTTTTTGAATATTATCCAGACGTATTAAAAATTCCAGGATTTCAGCTTCTAGTTTTACGGAAGACAATGATTTTTCTGAATGTGATTTTAATAAATTTGAACGTCGGACGATCGTTTGATGTCAATTTAGCCAGGGAGCTTGGATCGACGGTATCTACGGTATAACCAAGGGTGGAATGCGAGTTGAACGACTATGGAATGTGGTTCTGCTTTCTCAAGGCCCCATGGGATGTATCTAGCGATAGCCTCGCTCCAGTCTAAAGTCAAGCTTTCTTTTCGTCGCCTGTTACAGAAGAAAACCGACCGAACAATGTCGAAGACATATCTATCGTGAAAAATATTTTCAAAAGAACTCGCCAATTTTCAAACTACTACAACAGACTTTGTCATTCTTAAAACAAAATTCAAGCGATTTTTCAAGCAACAAATTCTTCGATTAGATCAGGAGTAATATTCCAAAAATTGTATCAATTGTCATACAAATTTGTATCAAACATTTCAGAAGTCAAAAAGGAGACTCACAAAATGATGGAACATGTATTATCAAAAACAACTTATGTTTTGATTTATTCTGAAAAGAGAATTCATCGATTTTTAAAAGATGTTGAGTATTTTTTTATGGAAAAAAAAAATTAAAATTGACAAGGCTCGTTTTTGGTAAGAGCCCCACAATTGTCGGTTTTCAAGTTCTCTGTTGTTCAGTCCCGTTCGCATGTACCAAAGAGAGCTAAGGATACGAGTCAGGGTGATATTGCTGATCTGTTCTCAATGGCGGCTGAGCAACATTGGCAGTGGGATCAGGTAATGGGCCCTAACAGGAGAAGCGGGCTATCCTCGTGAGTCCCCTTTAGTAAGCATGGCCAGTATTGAAACGGTACCGAATGCACGACCATTCGCTTGTATTACCAATCCGTTAGTGGGAATGCCGGCAATACCTTCTGACTCCAATTGAGAATCAACTCGAATGCGATTGCACTTGCCAACCGTATCCTTGCCGATGTAAACCGTTTCGACGTTAAATCGATTTTTCTATTAGTCTGATTTCTGCCAATTTACGAATAGTGTGCTGAGAACAAAAATGTATCGGACACCTTGCAATTCTTCTCCGACACCGTTGATACAACAGTTTAAATTTTAATAATGATTCTAGTCTCTTTAAATGGCCTACTTTTTGAATACGTGAAGCGGTATATTTTTTTCTAAAACTATTTAAATTGTAATAATATTAATCTCTTTGAATGGTCCACTTTTTGAACATATGAAGTAGTAGATTTTCGTCTAAAACTATTTAAACTTTAATAATAATTTTGGTCTCTCCAAGTGGTGCATTTTTTGGATATGTGAAGTAGTAGACAAACTACAGTAGATAGTAAAGAATCACTACAGTAACAAAAATGGTACCTAATTCAAACGGAACGGTAGCTGGGACATTGGCCAGTGATTATTTCAGGAACGAGGCCCAGGATTTTCGTTTGTTTTCGTACTTAGCCGCTCCCACCATTCGAGAACCGAAAGTCATACTACCGAAACCATTCAAGTATCCAAAAATATTTAAAATGGTATTGGCCCCAACGTCACGCGTTCGGAGTACTTCGAATTCCTCGAGGTTCGCTCGTCGCTGCAAATTGCCGTTACGGTATTCTCGAACGAGACCTGAACACGTGTTTTATATTAATTGTTTCGACAAATATCGTTTCGAGGAATACGTGGAGAATTTAAAAAATAACGATAATGGGAGTTATTTTAATATTTTTATTAAGCACAAATCGTTCTCCATTCAAGAGCAATTAATATTTTTGTAAGGGAGGTTTAAATTGTATACCTAAAAGGCTTTTTTTATTGATTGTTGCATAAATAAATAATAAAAATCAATTTCTGCGATAGCAAAACTTTTACATGATTAGAAATAGGGACATTGACCTTACTAGACAATATAACCCGTTGCCTTATAACATCCAGTTATATACGTGATGGCGATGACATTTAAAATTTAGAATAAATGTTACACTTGCCATAATGATAGAATTCCTTTTGTATCTGAAAAATTATTAACGATAAAATAATTCTTGAGAGTACAATCTTCAAATAAATCGTAAGGCAAGGGGTTAAATTCAGTTACCCTATATCGTCGCGCATAAGCTGAACGTGTCAATCGTTGTGATCAACGTGTGATCAACGTTGCCAATTGACGTGTAACGATTTACATCGTAATAATTTCTGGACAAGCCGTATGATGCATCACGTAAAGGACATGCGAAAACAGTGTTACGATCAACAATGAACGTTTGTACGATGTTACTATCCGCATTTGCATAACTCGTTCCCACTCCTCTTTCTCTCGTCTAAATGTCCCCTTCTTCTCTTTGTTCCCCATCCATCCGCCACCCACACTAGCCGAGGAAACGTACGATTCTCAGCGATGGAATCGAATCCGTTTAATATGTACCACGACATCGGCATTTTCATTAACGTTGAACCCTTGCCGAATGATGAATGGGTCTGTTTGGGCCCACCCGGCGAAGGCTAAACGTATGAGGAACGGTATTACAGACAGAGCTGAACAGTAATCAAGCCGTTTATTTTAAAAGTCGTGCAAGTCCAGTTTTTCTTATTTATTTGTAATTTATTCATACACATTTTTGTAATCTTATTATCGATTTCCTTGAAGTTTGACTTACACCACTTTTAAAATAAACGGCTCGAATTATGTCTTGTGATTACATTCACTTTGATTAAACTGAATTTGAAGACTTTATACGTGTGAAAATATTATTGTTTGAAGTGACGTCAGAAACTTTGGAAATTATTCGTATTGTTAGTACTTCGAGGCTTAATATTTAAATTGGATTTAAGAGGATTTGAGGCGTTCTTAATCCCATCGCTGGGAGGCATTTATGGGAAACGTTCAATTCATTACTCGAACCGACATGAATGAAACGCTAATTATTAATTCAATGATCATACATATAATACATCACGTAATACGTATTGTATTGGAAAAGCTAATAAGATTCTAATTTCGATTATTATATTATTAATAATTATTATATTATTAAGTTAGTAAACGTCCGTTGACTAACAATGATCAAGACACAAGAGTACGATCCATATAAGATGTAAGAAAACGATAAGTAAACGGTTAGAAGTGACAGCGGTTGGTAAACGAATGTATAAAGAGAACGCGGAACGGAGCATCATGAAAGAAACGAGAAGCATCGAAGTCCAAGACGTCATATCCGGGCGTGATAGATCGAGCCAAGGTGAGCAGAGGTCGTGAGCGGCCCTCTAATGAAGAAAATCTGCCTCGCATTTTAAAGGACTTCTTATCCCCCTCTACGATTCACCTATCGATCCCAAGGGATCAGATTTCACGAAATCCCAGAAAACACTTAAGGCAAACTTGTTCCCATACGATATAACCTTCATATTCGTCTAGAATCTCTTTCGGGTAAAACACTTGCTCTAACTACATTTCTTATCAAACACCCCATAGAACAGTAAATCTATCAAAGTGGTCTCAATGACCGGTTAGTAAACCCTTGTAAAAGTAATTGAAATATTATAAAATTGCACGAGAGTTTTCGCAATTTCTATTACGATATATAGCTAAAGAAATTATTTATTGTCGCTTTTATTGATCTCATAGAAATAGAAATAACGTTACTTTTTTATAGTTCTAGGGTTAACGAGGAATATCAAAGTTACGGTCGAAGAAGGAAGCGATTTCTGAAGGAATTTTTCGTGACGCAGAAATGTTCCTGAATGTTTTATGTTAAGATATTGACATTGAATGACTTCAAAATTCTTCTCCCTGTGCCATGAGTAGAACACTCTAATCAAGACAAGTTTACTCGTTTTCTGTTTAGATTTCACTGTATTTTCAATAAACGATTAGGAATTTTATTAACAAATTTTTTAATAAAGTGAATCTGACATAGGGAAGAGTAAATACAATATTTATGAGCAGTAGTGTATGGTTACTACGTAACATACGAAAAATGCATTGAATTAATTGTTACTCACTTCACAGTGATCAGTTTGTTAATGTCTCAGCATATCTCTGTTTTCAATTAAATAACTTACCAGGCTCGAAATTTTTCTTCATTCGACGCCACTGCCTCACGTAGACCAAAGCGGAACATCCTGCGACCAAGAAGAACAGAATGCACGCGCAGACTGCAAGAATCAGAGCTCCAGTCTGCCAATCCCACAGGATTCTGTCTTCCGAAGCGGATGTTTTTCTTGGCTGAGGCTGGCCAGCCCTCTGGAATTTTATCGAAATAGTAAATTAACATTAAGAGTTTCCGCTGAAACATTTTGATCATTAATAATTTCGAGATATTATTCGCTACAAACAAAAAGTGAACACATGTGACCAGTGAAGAACAGAAAAAAAAATTAAGTCTTGCATCAAACTATCGTTCGATTATCCAAATGTAGGAAGTATTGCTCGATCAATTCGGATACTATTGGGTTGAGTCATAAATAATTTCCGCACTAGGGAAAGGACAATTAGTAAATAATAATTATGTAACAATAATATTTAAACTGAACAAGATATACTAAGATTCAGAATGTCTTAATATGTGTATTGTATTAATATTAATTTTTAAGTGCCTTACACCGACATGAATTTAAAACGGATAACGGAAGTGTTTTATGACAACCTAAATGATTAAAAATGTCTTCCTAAATAAATGATCGAGTACCATCTACGACACATTTGCCATAAAAGTTTATCAACACACACAAAAAATATATAATAAAGCCTTTACTTTATTTTCAATGTAATGAACTAATATATAATAACCCCAAACAACAACTTTTATAAACTAATTTGCAAATTAATATGTTTTTACATAAATATCCGCAATTTAAAGGTCAAACCATTATTTATTATAATCATTACGGAATGATCTTGTTTACCTGGTCCTTCGTTTTCTGTTCGATATTTTTCTCCAAATTCTCTACGCGATCGATGAAGTCCTTCGACTGCTCTCTAATCTGTTGTTGCTCGAGGTCCGGAAATCTCCATAACATCTTCGAGGTGACAGCATCTAGGCTCCTTTGGCCAGTTTCCGGTCGTTTCCTCGTCGAAAGGAAAGACCAATCGAGCTCGAGGGCCGAGAGCGGGCCGCAAATAGCATCCTTGTAAATCGCGCAGGGGCTCAAAGTGAATTCAGGAACACATCTGGTGCAAGGCCAACAGGTGGCACGCTCGACCGACCAAAATTCGAGACCCGGTTTACAGACCGGATATTGAGGAGCGGATGTCGAGCAGCCAGCCTTACGGAGACCGACCAATAACAGCGACACGGCCAACAGATATCCCCGATTGGACTCCGGAGGCATCACCTGAAACAGTTTCATTCCGCTCGTTGGCTTTTCCACTAACTAATATTGCGTCAGTGCAAACATTTCGATGGGTTTTCTGCAGATGATATGATATTAATACATAGGCATTGTAAAATGGTAAAATGGTAAAATTGTACATAGAATGATAGAATGGTAAAATGGTAAAATGGTAAAATGGTACATAGAATGGTAAAATGGTAAAATGGTACATAGAATGGTAGAATGGTAAAATGGTAAAATGGTAAAATGGTACATAGAATGGTAGAATGGTAAAATGGTAAAATGGTAAAATAGCAAAATGGTAAACTAATAAAATGATAGAATGGTAAAATTTTAGAATGATAAGATTTTGAAATTGTAATATTTTAAGGTTGTAAAATGGTAAATTGTAAATGTTTGATTATAAAATGATTAATAAATTACAACCTTGGGAATAGTATGGTGAAAGTATTTCGTAAAAAAAGAACTGTCAGCTGTTCGTTTGAATGACAGCGTACCGCGTGATTTCTGAATGAATTACGCACGCGTTCAACACTTCTACGCCAAACACTTGAGATATCATGCATTCGATACAACACGTGTCCTCGTATGCTCAAAGAACTTATGACTCGGGCATTAAACAGAGAAAGCCTGGCGTTCACAGGGTTCATTTGGATCTATTATTGGAATTTTAAGTATTTTAGCTAAACTTCTATGTACTTTATGCGTTAACTATTTAGGAAATAGATTGTAAAAAATAATATAAAATATACACTTGAAAAAGTAAAATCACGGAAGTATAACACTATACTTTTTTTAAAAAAGGCGAAAGTGTAACACTATAAGCTTGTGCAACTTTTCTGTGTTACATATTAAGTATTCAGTACGTGATACATGCAAAAATTCATCAACAGCGATCGTCATCACAGTTCGAGTATCGTCAACAGCAAGCGTTTACTTTCGGAGTAATCCGTACTCGAAGGATTAAACAAGTAAACAAATTATACCTATAAAGCAGATTTTATGCATTTACAAGATACACACAATTATTGTTTAAAGCTCAGTTTAGTATAAAGATTAAAAAGGTTTAATGCGGATTTTATATAATTTTAAATTTGATGAAACAAAAGTTTACTTTGTATTGTATAAGAAAAAAAGTATTCCGTTACCCTCTCCCTGTTTTCTACTCACTTTTAAGAAAGGATTTAAAAAACAAAGCTATACGCAAAGTCAAGTACGTTTCAATCGTGAAAAATTATAAATCAGAATAATTTAAAACAGTAATATATCGAGCGCAATAAATAGATTCTCTCTGCCTTTCAGTCGCTTCTCCGAAATAATCAAGCGTGTAAAGTAGACGTTTAACCGGTAAAACCGGGCGGACCGTTTCCATTTCCGGCTCGTTCGCGATGTAATTACATCCGTAGTTGTATCGCAAGCGTACACCGTCGCGAGTGTGTGCGTACGCACGAGCATTAGAATAGTCTTGACGTGAATGAATTGACCGCGATTCGGTCGTGATTCTGATCATATTGAATTGCAACGATACTAATTTGTCGGACTCGTTTTAATACAAACAATTCGAGATGGTCTGGGTCCTCTTACACAATAATTTACCAACTGATAATATTAGCGAATTTACAAATTGTAACATGTAGACTTCTGTTGCAGAAACAGTTTTTATTATTTTACATGTTACAAGTTACATCGCTAATATTATCAGTACATTTTACATATTACGCCAAATTAATCATTAATTGTTCACTCGAATCAAGGTAAATATAATCTCAAAACGTGAAGTTGGACAATCAATTGCCTTGTAATTTGTAAAATTTACTTGTAGAACTCTACTTTTTATTTATTTATCTATTTTACGGGATAATTCCCATTAGAATCAAGAGAAAAAAATGTAAACATGTTTATATAAATATAAATCGGACGAATAATAAAATTAATGAAACATATAACTGGAAAATAGAGAGAAACAAAATGGTAATTATAAGACATTATAAACTTGGTTTTTGAAAAATTGGATAGAGCCAATAAAGAAATCAAGATCTTGTTTTGCATCTACTTGTTTTATTAAGAGCTTGTTGCTATTGTGCAACAGAATTTACTAGTACTGGTAGCTTGCAGTTGTGGCTTAAAAATTTCATTAACAATATCAGTTCAATTGTGCAAGAGGACCTTTTTCACGGTGTGAAACGTTGACTAACATGCAAAGTAACTTCTGCACTGAAATGGCCATCCCCAGGTGCACATTTAAATTCTATCGAAAACCTTTCGAATTACCTACAACAAAACTTGAAGGCTGAGAAACATAAGAATCATTCGAATTAATTACTTAAATAATTAATGTTTTCTGTCACAGTTCAATATACTTCCACGAAGAATTCAGATTGACCGTCGATTCAAGAGGAAGGAAATAAAGAATCGATTGAAAATCCAAAATTGTATCGCGCGAATAGAAAGCACGACCGGTCTATCTGTGGCGGAGGTTTCTCCCGCGCTGTTTAAAATTTGTTGCGCGCGCTGCTGGCAGGTGTATCCCCCGATTGCGTACTGACCACTATACGCGACTATCAAAATGCAAGTCGGGCTTTATGTCCTGAATTTCGATGATCCAAATCCAACACTAATATTTATTCATTCTAAAATTAAAATAATTCACCTAGGACACAACCGTTTCATGTAGGTTACACATACCGATTTGTTAAAAATAGTTTCATACACCTCAAGATTACATTTCCATTACCTTACTCTATCTTCTCTGCAGTAAATTTACAAATTTATATTTATTTTTACATATATAATTTTCCATTGTGTATTGCTCATTCTGTTTAGTATATTTTTTATAATACATCACAGTATGCAAATATTTTCTTATAATCATTGTAAACATTACGAAATGCATAAGATACGGTATTTGTTATGAAGAATAATGAATTTTGTAACACATAATCATTTTAATAAAATTTGATTAAATATTCAACGTATGCTGATACATATTTCTTTGCTACACTTAATTATTAATACTCCGAAAAAAGGATATATGCATAAAATAAACTAAAAATATAGCAAAGAATAAATAAATATGATATTGTCATAATGGGTCGAATAAACAAATTTCTGTTTGATTACAGTTTCTGTAATATTTATCATCATTTAGCGAATCATTAGCGAAAAGTATTATCGAATTGAAGCTCGTTCAACAATTTACGTTTGGAAACAAATAAAAATCGTTTCGTCACTGTGGTTGCGTACATTCCATTGTGACCGCCATTAACGCATTATCGTACTATCCCATTCATAAATCTCATTGGCATTCCATACACGCGTTGTGTCACCGAATACTTAAAAGTCAAGCAAAACCATCTCGTTATATTTTAGATCGTATCTTAAACGCGCTTCAAATGATCTTTTGCCGCCTCTTTTCCTTCATCTTTTTACATTGATTATTTAAAAAATTTTATTCTCGTTAGAAACAAGCATTTTTAATATACAGCCATTTGCTTTAACAATTAATGGTTGTTACCTTTATAGAATTTGGCGGAACACTAGCTATTTCTGACTTTTTTAAAATTTAATTTTATTGTTAACCTATACTATTTTTAATTTTCTTTTTAGCTACATAATGTATATTTTGAATCGAAAATGATAAAATAATACGGCAATATGCAGGACAGTTGCCTATTCTAATATTTCGTCAATTAGACAGGATAGCCACAGTGGGTCACGCTGTCTGAGACCCTATTAATTAATTATGACACGATCTACTACCAATGGATCAAATTGTCTATACCATGCTTTATTAATTAACTGACAATAAATTCTTCTGCAATTTCCATTCATTCCTATCAATGCAATTCCGTCGAACAATTTCAAAAATGCAAAACCGACATCATCAAAGCTGTCATAAACATTAATTAACAGCATAAAATTCGACCGGCAATATATTGACCGGTATACATTATACCAGTGACAAACAATGTGACAGCTGGAACCAATCTAAGGAAGGATCAAACACGAAACAGTTAATGGTCATTTAAATATTATCCCGACAATAGATTTATTAAGGGAACATAATATGTGTGAATATAAATATACGTACGCTGGCTTCGATAAATTCAGGCCTGTCATGACGCAATCCGATCGATATATCCACGATTGATCAACGGGATGAATGGTAAGAAATTATCCGGAACTCGTGAAAACCTATCGAGTTTCCCATCGATATCGTGGACGTTCGATCCGGGGAAAGCTCAACAGGTTACGGTGGCCTCGCGATTCCAAACGGAGGGAAATTTTGTTTTCGTGCGGAATCGCGAGCGAAAAAGATCGAGGAGAATGGAAAGGGCGGTATGTGTTTCAAAAAACCTTCGCTCGGCACCGAATAGATGTACACCGTGCGCCGACCACAACACGACTGGCTAGTCTGGTTATTCTAATTTCCGCCCACGATCCTCTCATGAAAAGAGAGGCTCGCGAGAAAGAGAGGGGCACAACGTGGAAAGAGCCACGTGAAGAGACCTAGAGATGGAAGAAGATGAAAGAGGACAGAGGGAGCCACACGGTGGAATAAAAAATGGTAGTGATGGCTTTAACCCTGAATACGTAACATAAACACGTATTACTATGGGCCACCAGTCTCGCCTTGTGTTTGTTTATTGAGCCATCTTGGCCCTTTCTTTTGGCCCTCTTGGCTTTTTTCGTAAAAATCACTGAAAATTGTCAACTTTGAGGATCTGTATTTTTTTAACAATTTCGAAACTAAGAAAATGATCACAACCCCCCCCCCCCTTCCCTCATTTTCACATGAAGTATAACATATTTCAATTTGAGCAAAATCCCAGAGATCGTGTGCAGAAAATGATCTACTTGACGTGGAATGACTCATCTAATTGACGTTATCGTTCAATAATGAATTAATTAGTTTTAATAAGCTTTTAAAATGATATATTGCTAATGAAATAATTAATGAAATAAAACATTTCAGTATCATAAATTCGATAATACTGTAGGTATTACAAGTTTGTGTGCTTAATACATTGACGTCAAAAAACTAGATATCTCGTTTATACAAAGGGATTCTCTCGATGCGCAAATGAAACGCCGTGTCGCTCTAAAGAACCTCCGTGTCAGCCCGTGTGCTGGTCCTCAGAGGTCAGAGGGTCATCAACAGTGAGGACCGATCGTCAGATTGGTCAGATTACACGAACTGACGTGGCGGTTCTTTAGAGTTTAGAGCGGCAATGACGTTTGATTTGCACAGCGAGAGAATCACCCTGTTCGTAATACCCGAAAAAGTATACGCGATATCAATGTATTAAAACCTTAATAAGAGACTGTTTTTACAAATGATTCATTATTAAATTAAATTTTTTGAATAAGTAAATAATCAAGTTTGAAATTACGAAACGTAGAAGAATAGTAAAACGAAGAATATTGCATGTTTCATCAAATCTGAAAAGAACATTCCATTTAATCTTTCATAAAAAGGGCCATAGTTCCTTTTACTGTCGCGCCATCTTGAATTTTGAAGTAATTTGCTTGGGGTAGAACACTGACAGTCTAGGAATGAACGCGGAAAGTAGAAAAAGACAAAATGTCGGTAAGATAATTTTTTTAAATCTATTCTACTAGCGGTAGATTAACTTTTTATTTCTTCGAACACTTTTGTAACTGTCTTTCTGAAAAAATCCAAATTTCGATTACTAATTGTTCAATCAGTTTTTCTTTAATCTATCAATGATTTTATAGTGAAAAATTTTAAACTTTATGTTCTGTATGTATTTCCTATTGTGTCACTGTTGCCTGTAAAAATTACATTTCATAATACAAAAACATGAATTAAAAAAATTCTAACCTTCAAATGTAATATCATACATTAACGAATAAAATAAAAGTTTTTACGTAGTGATTAGAAAATTAATATTCCTCGCGTAGAAATTAGTTTTATTATTAAGTTCATTCATTAATTTTTCATAAACCTTTCATACTATTTCTTAAATGATACAAAATACACTATTTTACTTTTAAAAGATATAATAAACTGAGAATTTTACGACAGAGAAGAAGGAAAATTTTGAACTCAACCGTCAATGTTATTTTCATAATTAGTCAAATTCAAATAGTCATATTCATAAATGAATGAAAATATTCATAATCTAATATGAATCCATAGACCTAACCAATTTAAAATGTAAATACAATAATACAAGCAATGGTATGTCTCATATTTCTCACGAAATAAAATTAATTAAATTGCTGTTATTAAATATTTCATTTCTGGAATTAATAGATTGAAAAACTTTGGTTTATAGTATTTAGGTTATAGTTTAATTATGTTTTTAGATTTGTGGAAACAGGTATCGACTAGGCAAGCTATTCTGACAGTTGCTGTGATCTTTATTACCTCACTATCAGCACTATTCTATGTGTACACCAGTTTCCCAGAACTTGCAGAGTAAGAAACCAAAATAAACACATTGCACATAGAAAAGCATTAAAATTTGCTTTTTTTTTTACAGAAATGAACGACAGCATATGAAATTACCATTGCACATTGAAGATGCTAAAAATCTGGGTAAACTTTTAGGACAATATAAAGATCTCTATTATATCCAAGTGTTAGCAGGACTATTTACAACCTATATTTTGTATCCTTTGATAGTTTCTCGCTTTAATTTGAAATACTATAATTTTAGTTTTCTTACACAAAAAAAACGTACAAGTTAACGAAAAACGCCTTAACATGATTTTAGCTTACAAACTTTTGCAATTCCAGGTTCTATTTTCCTCTCCATCCTCTCAGGTTTTCTTTTCCCATTTCCATTAGCTTTATTCTTAGTATGCAGCTGTAGTGCAATAGGAGCCTCATTATGTTACCTTTTGTCATCACTTTTGGGACGTAAATTACTGTTTAAATACTTCCCAGCAAAAGCACAAGAATGGACACAAACAGTGAAAAAACATAGACACAACCTCTTTAATTACATGCTATTTCTTCGGATGACTCCACTGTTACCAAACTGGTTCATCAATCTTGCCAGTCCTGTGATTGGAGTACCTCTCATACCTTTTACATTAGGCACATTTTTTGGGGTAGCACCACCATCTTTTGTAGCAATACAAGCAGGCCAAACACTGCAGAACTTAACATCTTCAACTGACGCATGGTCATGGAATAGTATTCTAATATTGTGTGTGTTTGCAGTGCTGTCACTAGTACCTGTTTTATTTAAGCAAAAACTGCAAGAGAAGTTTGATTAAACTATCGGGAAGAAATTAAATCATGATTTATTTATTAGGAAATTATGCACTTATTTAAATATTCAAGGTGCTGAATAATGTGACAAAAAGATTGAAAATGAATTTAGTCTTAATCCTGTGATTGATATTGAATCAATTGTAGTATGATTCCAGATTTTTTTGAACTAAGCCATATAAAACATTCCTCGAGTTATACTTAGTTTTCTTTTACAGTTAAATTTATTCAACTGACAAAAAATTACAATTCAAAAATTAAAAATATGATACACATTCAAACTTTGCAAAAAGGTTTAATGCTATTAAGATATTTTTCCATTTTTTCTAGCTTAATTTCTGTCAGTTTTATAAATCAAATTTTTTATCACTATCATTGTTTATTAATGAACTTTACATTTATAAAAACTGCACAAACTGGATTCAAATTGCCATTACATAAACGTTCATACACCTTTAATCTTTAAAATGTTATAAAATGTTGCACAGAAATATTTATTTAAAAATTTACTTTAATAGGACAAAAAGTAAAACTAAAACGAATTATATAATTGTAAAAAAATGTTTTAGTGTTACACTTCTACAAAAATGATTTAGATAGTATAAAATATTCAACAAAAAGATATCATATAGTTTATGGATACACTAGTTGAATTTAAAGCTGGAAAGCTAATTGGTCGCCAATACCACCAATTGTACCATACTGAAAAAAATATAATTTAAATAGTGAATTATTCAAATATTGTAACTCAAGCACGAAATAACTTTAAATAAATTGTAAATAAGTGTTCTGTTAAAAATGTACAACGTTGAGAATAAAAATAGAAGATTTATATAAATAATTAAAATTAGTATAATCATACATACAAATTTTCCCAGGAGATAATAATACTGTGAAGGATTCACATGATTCACTGCATTCTGGACTTGCTATCATTTTTATCAATCTTGTACCACCTGTAGATCTTATTACTACATTACTGCACTCTGGGTTTGGCTGTTATTTTAAGAATACAATATATTACAAAATTAATGATTTTAAATTGTAGCGATAAAAAATTTGTATTAGAGAATACAAATTACTCAAGCAATAATATAACACACAAATTTATGTCATACAAATATAAAAAAGCTTTGATTTAAAAAAATTACATGAGAGATAAGTTTTCTTGTAGAAAAACCTGAAATTTGTAAAATAAAATTACCAAAGAATATGGCGGAGATTCTTGTTCGTCGATAAGAATAAATTTCTCTGTACTCTGTTCCCACCAAATTGGGGTATCTGTAGGTTTAGGAAAAAGTTTTCTTACGATTCTTCCTGCTGTCATACGATTAATTCTCCACGTAATATGATTATCTAAATTTTTTGATGGATGCAAATCCATCTTGTCTTCTATAACATCTCGAATATTCCTGAAATGATATGTGCCTTCTTTAAAAAAAACAATTTCTTAAATTATTTAAAATAATCGTAATTTTGTTTCTTGTATTAAAAAACTACCTGTAAGTGAAGTTGTTGGAAAACACTTTTGAAGCATCTTTTTCAAATATATCACAATTATCCCAGAACAAGTGTCTTAGATCTTTTAAATGAATTTCTGATAAATTTTCAGTTTTTATATAAGGAATTCCAGGATTAAAGGATCTAGATATATGGTGACCAGTTAAATCAGGTACAAAGTTTATAACACTACAAGGCCAACAGTCAATATCATTTACATAAAAATATGGATTTTCCAATATACACCATTCATCATAAAATTCTAAAAATAATTCAAATTAAGATGAAGATTTATTTAAAACAGATTGTTTATAATATAATTTTTAGTATTTTTCATAGTATTTACGATTCTTACTAAGGATGAAAAATAGATACTAATCAAATTAATTACATACATTATACGAAATAACTTCTACAAAATTTATGCAAATCATGTGGCATTATCCATATCATAATGAAATGTAAAATATTAATATGAACATTACAAAGCATTATTATAACACTATAAGCGTTACAAAGTCGTAGTAACATTCATAATTAGACTACAAAGGTTTATATAAATATGGAGCTTAACATATTAATTAACAGAAATTTGTTTACACCATTAGCGGTTCTATCAGGTTTCGATTGATATAAAGAAACTGATTCCACTTGTTCAAACTTTTTAGTATACTGGGATTTAACAATTGTATAATGTTCCAGATGCATAAAATTTGGCAGTTTGATTATAATTTTGTTATTTTAAAATAAATTATAATATAATCGTACCAGATAGAGAAGGATACTGCTGAATTATAGGCATAGCTATATTTCTAACTAATTTTAGACCTGGATAAATGGAATTTTGTAAATTCCTCATAATCATAACTGCTATGAATCGCTGATCAAAAGACATAAAACATATAATTATCATAAAGAAAACTACAAGAATCGTTTTTATACAACAAGGTACACCATATTTTTTCGTTCTGGTTTCAAGAATTTGAAATGACTTCTTCAAAGTATTGTCAATTTCAATTTCAGAAATACCATTTTCCCGCGCGTACCGGCGAATTGCTTCCAGTTTGCTTCTATACACTTCCAAATTAACCATTTTTTGAAAGTATAAAATAAAGTTACTGAAAGGTGAGTTATAAATTGTAATTTTATTTACACAAATTCGAACTGTACAATTGCATGTAGCCACGAATGAATTACAAATTTGCAAATTATACAAATACTTCCTTTAATCTCTAATTATTAGCATGATCAACAGCAATGACAAATGCACATCACGAACATCAATGCAAATGCTGAATTGTGCTGAATGCTGATGACAGCTTCCAAGCAATTCCCAGTTTTTCATTAAAACCATAGACAAAGTATAATGTTAGATCCAGTCAGATCCATAGACATATATAATAGACTGCGCAGTCTTATGGTAGGGATGAAATCGAGACTGAAGGACGGAAGTAACGCTGGAGTAGCTCCTCTCTTGCTCGCATATAATACGTGTATGATACGTAATATATACGCGTAAAATACGTCTGACACGGCGGGTTATTCTACTTGAATGGCACGCTCTTTATTGTTTCACATGTTGGCTCCATTCGTTTGATTCTATATATATATTTCATTCATAAATTTAATTACGTTATCGATCGATCCCATGTATCAGCTGGAAATTAATTGTTTAAGGAGTATAATTTTGCCGGTATTTTCAATAATTAGGGTAGCTTCCTCGTCTGGTATCGTATCTAACTGGGGCTCCATATGACGCTTTATACTTTTTATCAATTTTACCAATTCAATTTGAATGATTAATATTTTAAACTACTTCAAGATACTTAAATGGAAAAAAATTGACAAATATGCGTTGAAGATACCAAACGCAATGAAACCTAAGTTTGCATACTTTGATCTTAACTTTTAGAATTATTAACGCAATTGCGTTATTCTTGATTCTCGTTTTAGTTTAGTATGTAGAATTTACCCTGTTAAAGTACTCCACAATTTTATTAACACCCTATATACCCTCGAATGACCCCAATAAAAAATTTAACATTCAAAACAATTTTTATGAATGCCTAGCACATATCTATCTATTATAAATAACAGTATTACAATGTGCATAGAGTGATTAATTACACTTTAATATTACATGTATATGTACATACATATTGTATCTAAACATATTAACATAGTTTTCTACAAGTTTTACTTTTCAGCAGTTTTAGGAGTTTCAGGAAACAACTTTTTATATAGCTCCTCATATTCTTTCTTGAGTTCTTCCCTCTTTGCAAAGTATTTTGGATATCTGGACTTCTCCATGGGATCCCAATAATCCATTACACAATCTGGACAATGAAGATAATTCTCATGAGCTATTCCACTTTCGGAATCAGGAAACTTTTTTGATTGCCAATGTTGGTGCTTGAATACTTCTTCTTCACCTTCTAGCAAAAGTTGTTTTGCAAGACGAGCATCTGGTATCTTTTTATTTTGGTCAAAACGATGTCTTAGTAGAACTGCTTCATACCTTGATAGAAATATAACTGTTTTTTAAAATATTCATATATTATTAGGTTGGTGGGAAGTTAAGTTCAAGTACTTAAGTATGTTAAAGAATTTTTTAAGATTTTATTTTAATGAATGTCGTTCTGTTATAACCCTTTTATTGTACTGACAAAAAAGGAAACAATAATATTTAACACTGGTAACAAGACTGTGTATGTTTATGTAATTTGTAGAAACTAGACACAGATAAAACTTTGTTTATCAAGTGTTTGATCAAATGCCAAAGGAAATTAACATTTTCATTGTTCTAGTTACAACATATAAGTTTAAATTATTATATGATATTTCATTAATAAAAAAAGACGCATGAAAAATGACGTGTCCTTTCATTAAAACAATAAGAACTGCATGATCGAAATAAACAAAAACATTACTAACATATAAAACGTAATAAAATAATTTCTACGCTGATGACGTATTTATATTAGTAATATCGTTAATGTATTAAAGAATATAGTTTTTACATATTAAACAATATAAAAAGAACGTCTATGAACATACCTGAATTCATGTCTTCTGAAGTAAAAGTTTTCTAATGTACGTAAAGCGCGTTTATACAATCTACATACTTTTTGGCTATGAGTAACTAATCCTGTGGGTAACTGAGCCATCCCTTTTTAATTAAGATATTGACTCTCCTACAAATATTATTTTTCTCTAGAAAGTCAATTATCTAACTACAAAACCATAGACATATATGTCTATGAACAAAACTGCCATGAACGACGTATACAACGAACGCAACCTAGATATGCAGCTTTATTGAAATAAGTTCAATGAATTCAAGGTTAAATGTTATTTTAATGTCGGTTTAAATTATTTTAAATTATTACATAAATATATTATGCTTAAATATTGTAAAAAAAAGTCATTTCTATATGAACAATTCTATAAGAGTTATTCTTAATGTTAATTTCTTATCGTATAACGGTTCTTAGTTCAGTGTCAATTAAATATTTTATATTCTTTGGACATACTTTTACCAGCGACTAGGTATAGGATAGACCTATTATCTTATGGGACTTCGTGTCTCATGTTCTGAAATACCATAGTGTAAAAAGTCAGGGATGTTCTGCTGCCCTCTACGTTATGAGAACGGTGAATTTGTGAACTACGTTAAATCCATTTGAGCTTAACTAGTCTGGTTTGTTTTCGCGCACAAACAAGTTATTGCGTTTAATATTGTTTTTATGAATATGTATATGTATTATTATGTACATTTGAGTAAATTATTTTATTATTCCATTGTTATTACAATAGTTCAACAGTGACAACGAGCGCATGTATATTTTAAAATATCGGACTAACAGTATATTTTTATTCTATATTATTACATATAAGTAAGTAATACGTATCATAAATGTAATCGAAACACAGATTTTTATTACACCACAAACATCGCATAAAAGATATTTCGTTATATTGACATTTGTAATAATTATGGATGTTGCGGGGAAATCAATATTATTGACATTATGGAACATATAACGAAATATCACTGTAACACTTAAAAAAGTTTTAAAGTTC